ATTATAATTATTAAACTCTATTTATAAGCAATTCGGTTAATAATTAAATGATAGATTTCCAAAAAAATGGAAGACAATCATGAAAGCAAAAATGAAAGTTTCATTCCTTTTCTTTTATTTTCAATTGAAGTTCGCAGGTTTATTGCTGCCAAGTTTTCAAACTTAAGCAGTAAAGAAATTTCCAATATTATTTTAAAATTATGGTCATGCTTACCTGAAATTTCAAAAGCAGAATATAATATGAAGGCGATTAAAATGAGAAAACATTCAGATATTTTAGATGTTTTTCCTTCTCAAAAGAAAAGAAAATTTTCAGATAGTCTTAATTCATACCCACAATATTTAACGCAAAGTCATAACCTAATACGAATAATTCTCTCTTGTACTCTTCCTCTGTCAATTGTTACTAATAACGAATTTAGACAATTTTGTAGTTCATTTGATTCAAGATTTATACTCCCAAATAGTGAAACTATAAGAAATACAATTATTAATGCATACGATCAAACCAACAAATTTATTCAAAATAAAATAATTGAAACTGCCGAGTTTGTAGCACTTACTTTAGATGTTTGGTCACATTCCTATATCAGAATAACTTGTCATTGGATTACATGTGATTTTAAATTAATTGATGTTGTTCTTGACGTGATGAACTTTTCAGAAGCTCATGCAGCGACGGAACTTTCTGAAAAATTCCAGATTCCTTTATCTAAATTTGGATTAGCTCAGGAAAAAATTGTTAGCATTACTAATGACAATGATAATGTGAAAACAGCTTTGTTACAAATGCAAATTGAAATTATTCCATGTTTGGCAAATACCTTAAATATTAGTGTTGAATCGGGATTGCTATATGCTAATAACATTTTAAACAAGTCAAAAAAGTTAATTGAAATTTTAGGCAATGAAACGAATCGCCAAAGATTAAGAGACATTCAACAGCAAATTGATCGAGGTATTAAACAACCATTGGATGTAATAGAAGTCAAGAAAGATTGGAATTCAATTTATCATGCTAATCGCCGTTTAATAATACTACAACCCTCAATTCGATATTTATTTAATACTCTTAATAACAATATATTAGGTATTAGTAGAGAAGATGAAAAACTAAAAGAAAATATACTTTCTGATGATGAATTTGATATATGTAGAGAACTTGACATTATCTTAAATCTATTCTATGAATTAACTGAAATGTTAAAAGGTTCAAATTATCCTGCATTGAGTTTCGTGACCCCAGCAATTGAAAATCTTAAGCAACATCTTTGTATTTATCAACCAAAAAATGATGTCATTCGACAGATACTAGACAATCTTAAAAAGAATTTTGGAGTGCCTTCAACTCTTGGAATATATGGATCTTTTTTTGATCCTCATTTCAAAAAGCTGCTATATATTAACAGTGTAAATAGAACTTTAATTGTTGAATATCATTAAGAATAAAATAAAGTAATATGTTTCTTTTTTATAGGAACTTCGATGCCAAATTTTAAAAAATCTTCGTGAACAATTTACGAAACTTGCAGAACCAGTAGCTTCTGACACTATAGATATGGATTCGAAAATGTTGACATTTTTTCATATATTTATTCAAGAAACTGAACAAACTGAGTTTGATAAATATCTTGAATTACCTCAATTACCTGTAACAGAGGAAAATAATCCTTTAAAGTGGTGGAATAAGAACACACATTTGTTTCCTACAATGGCAAAACTTGCTAGAAAATACTTATCAATTCCGGCCTTTTCTGCTCCTAATGGAGGGCTGTTTCCAGATGAAAAGAATCATTGTTTAGATCTTGATATTCTTAATTACATTGTGTTCTTAAGACATAATTTATCAGTTTTTCGTGCACTTTCAAATTAATAAATCTAATGAATTATTTAATTAATATATTTTCTTGAAAAAAAATTTAATAAAGTGTATCAAATGATTTCGATTGGAATGAATTATTGTCGTCACGTTCGGGGTGTTAAATGTATGTACTATGTAAATTAAATTTATGTATAGTCCCGTTGAATAAACAATTTTTTGTATTACAATCATGATTATCTGATGGGCGAATCTATTTGTCACCGGCAGTTACAAAAATCTCAAAATTTTTAAATCAGAATAACTCAAAATTATGTCTATGAAATCGATTTCCATGGCTTAAACCCCATCATCATGTATATGTATTCGAGTCAAAAATATAGCAATAGGGATTAAGAATTCCTCACAGACATAAGATCATGTGAATTTACATACCCGTAAAATTATTTGTGCATTTATTTTCTTTTTGAAAACTTTTGGAAATCCCTGGCATTACTGTATTATCTCGAAATAATGCCCGGGATGTAATTCGGGCGAAAATTTTAACCTCTCCCTGTATAAACAAGGATTTTTCAAACTTAATAGATGTATGTATATATAATACATACTTAATCAATTAAATTTAATTTACTTGATATCACATTGTCTCGAAATAGAGAGCTTTTTTAGATAATGCATTAGCGATAAAATCGACACAGATGACGGGTTCTGGTCGCTCAATTCATTATCACAAAATAACGCCTGGCATAATTATAACGGCTTCGTTGGCACACTTTCTACTATACATCAGTTATTGAGTAATAAACAATTTATTTCAGATTGTCATACAAAAAACGCGATCCGTAGGCATCTGTCATAAAGAAAAATGAATTGTAAAAATTAAATGAATTGTCTTTAATTCATTTGCATTGTTTTAAAATCTATTTATTTAATAATAAAATTTCAAAGAGAAAAGACGAGTCAATAATTATGAATCTTGACAATTTTACTCCAATTGAAGAAACAAACCTACATTCCAATATTAAAATCAGTAATGGAGTTAATGGAATTACTGTTTTCATTCCAAGTGGTTATTCTCTGATTTTATTATGAAACAGTGAGAATGTAATTTCAAAAGATATGATTAAGGAATTGGCTGGATTAAATATAAAAATTCCATTATTTATTTTAAATACAGCAGCAAACACACCTTATAATGAAAAATCAGTAAAAAAACCTCCAAATAGTTTTATGATATTTCGAAGTCAAATATGCCATATAGTTAAGGATAAGTACAGTCATTTAAGTAATCATGAAGTTTCAAGATTAATTGGATGTTTGTGGAGTAAATTAAGTCCAGAACTCAGAGAAGAGTATCAACAACAAGCTAAAAAAATCAAATTAGATTACCAAAAACAGAATAAGGGTAAATATATATATAAGAAAAGATCATCCAATGAAAAACCAAAAGATGCTTCTAAGAAGAAAAGATTGACTCAAGTTTCAAATACTGAGGAAATTTCATCACCCAGCTTTACCGAAAATAATGGAAAATTGTTAACAGACAAGCTAGAAAAAATATTAAATTTTTCTTTAGATAGGTTTATATCAAAAGAGTTAAGTGAAAGAAATATGCAAGAGTTAAGTGAAATAAATAATGCCCAAAAAACTTATTCGGAAAAGTCAAGCGAAATAAATAATATCCAAGAAACTTATTCTGAAGAGAATAATGAAGATGCATTATTTGATTATCAACAAGGAATTGAGCAACTTTTCGATTTTCTATCAGAACATAATATTTTTGGCTTAGACATATCAAATCAATATCCATTAACAGGCTTTGATAGATGGCAGTCAACAGAAAAATTAGAAAATCCTTCTGAACTAATTTATGAGGAACAGTCAACAGAAGAATTAGAGAATCCTTCTGAACTGATCTATGGTGGAAGGTCAACAGTAGATCATTCTGCGCTAGTGGGAATGCATTCTACAGAAAATATAGAAAGTCCCCTTAATGGTGGACAGTCTTCAGAAAAGCTAGCTAATTTAGATTTTGAATTATTAATGAGCCTTATAACATAAGATAGAACCACAATCAATTTTAATAGCTTTTTTTTATTTTTTTTCTATCACTTTTAAATAGTTATTTTATTATTTCTTTCATCATTCTTATTGCGCTTTTTATCGATTTTGGCACCTTTTTACTTCACTTTGGTTAATGTCATAAATTAATTTAAACTTTATTGTAAAAT